ACAATCAAACTGGGCGGTATTGCTGGTAATTAGATTAGTTGGATTAGAAGACAGGGTAAATACTACTTGTGAATATTCCTCAGAAGCCTCATAGTTTATGAGCCAGGCCTTTTCTCCCTCAGAATCACTAATGGATATTCTGCCCCAGCAGTTTTGTAGAGAATTCTCTCACCGTGTAGATGCTGACCATAGGCCTCCAAGGGCGCACACAAGCATCTCTGCGCACAGCTTCCAAATTCAAAGTCGTGCCAAATGCATCCATGAATAAATGTTCAGTGTTTGTCCATTTCAGCTACTAATTCCATAAAGCTATGGAGACTCTGCATGTAAGGCAGATACAACATAAGATAACAAATTGTTTCAACTAATAAACCAGAAGAGTTTCTTGAATGAAAAGTGGGTGGGGAGGAGGCAGTAGGCTACATGTAGCAAGCCCCCAGGATGCTTTGAAGCACACAATTTATTTCAGCCAGTGTCTGAAATTTACCAGTTCTGTGACTGCAGAGAGGTTATATCACACATCTTGGGAAACTCATATCGCATCTGTTTTAAAATTGTGTTGTCTTAGAGGGTGCATGGTTATTTTTATTGTTGGTCTTCAGTAGTAGTTATATCCTTATGTTTAGAATGCTTAAAATTGTTTTAGTTTTGGTATCTTTAATTGTATCATTAAACTATTAATTTGATGCTGATGACATATTAAGTCTCTAAGAAGAAAGTTCAGGTTTTAAACAAATCTTAAGTAACTGGCATGTTTGTAGGTCAAGGATACTGATTTAATATCATTCATCAGTTAGCATTCTAGAATGACACATGCTATAAATATATAGAACACATGTTGTTCCAAGTAATAATTAACTGTAATAATTAACACAAAAAATGTAATCCAGAAGCTGCCTTGAAAGAAGGTAATAAATTGAAAGCATGGAGTTAAGGAAAGTCCAGGCAAGTTTTCCCTTTCAAAGAAAGTCTTTCTTTTTCTGTGCGTGGGCAAATAAAATTCTTATACAATGAAATTATATACTCCAGGTTTCTAAAAGACACTCTTTTTTGACATCCTACAACACTGTGTCAACATTCCTAATATTTTACATTCTTTGTTTAGCAAAACAGCATTATTTATAGCTTACTTTCTTCTAGTAAGTCTTATGAGTTAATATTTACATCAATCTGAGTTTAAAATGGTCTCTAAAAGATATGAAATAGTGACAATAATGCCTGTTACAGAGAGAAGGGGAAAAACTCACATTTTTGAATTTCATAACCGTTCATCATCCCTTTCCTAATCATAACCTTGGAAGAGTTGAAAAGCAGAAAGACCTATCATTTCACAAATGAAATATTTACTTCACTGTGTTTTAGTTTCTTTGCAAATCATTGACTATATTTAATTAAAAAGAAAACACGAAACTGCTTTTTGTTCTAGTCACAACTGGTTTCCTCTCTTGGAGGTAGACAGGTCAAAACTGGCTGATATTTAATATTGTTTACCTCAGTTTTATCTTTAGTAAATCCAAGAGACTTTCAAAGCTAAAATGTAACTATTTAAACAAATTAACAAAAAGATAAACCTTTCAAGTGATTAAGACTATCTCTTCCTAGGTAATTAAGGGCAGGATGAATAATAGATGAAATACAGTTATAAGATTTTCAGGAATATATTTTTCAACAGCATAGTTCAGAAATTCGTATCAACTATCAATGAATTGTTCATGACTTTGAAAGGGAAGATACTAAGTTAGAAGATTGTGGGATTTCTTTAACTGTAAGAAATAACAGATTTAGAGTTTGAAAATGTTACCGGAAAAAGCTGATTGCTTGGACTGTTGAGTGAGGTATGTGAAAACGGGGGTGTGTGGGTGGCTATGAGGAGGTAGTTATAGTTAAGCAAGAACTTGAATGCAGAATGTAAACATAGAGTTCAGTTGGAAATAGAGATAAACAGAAGTAAGCAACCCAGAGTTCCCCAGTTTAAAAATAAGAAACATATAAACAAAACCTTTTCAACTTTAACCAGAAAAAGAGCAAAAAAAACGAAGGGGTCCTGTTCATGTAAGGCAAAGATCGCAGAAACAAAAGGAGTACCTCAGTTCAAAACAAGGCCATTTGATTTTGGTTCCAACATGTCAGGTTCCTACATTCCTAGAGAATAGGCAAGCATTGGCATAAAGTGGAACAAAGCAAGAGTTTCAAGAGATGAATATGTGGAATCTGTTTGCCACAGAAATATGTGCACAATGACAAGGACAGTCACTAATTGGTGCAGGCTGTTCTGCCATATAAATACTGTTCTAGCTGTATTTACAGTATGTGCTATATCCCATAGCCTAGGAAATGTGCCCCTTGCTGATAGGACTGGCTAAAAGAATTATCACTGCCTAAATGGGGGGAAACTTGGAGAGCAATTCAGCCCAAAGGAAAGACTGACAGCTTAGAAAGAAACTTGCTAATGATGCAAATATGAACTTGCATGTGCCTGAGATAAGCTTTGATTTAAGAAAACAAAGAGTCCATTCTGACTATACTTGGAAACACATAGTCTTTGAGAACTTGGTTGATGAGTTGAACTAATTCCCATTTGGGACTTTGTTTGTTCTACTTATCTGAAGCCAGAGCCAACAATCCTAAAAGTTTTGAATGGCAGTTAATGCTTCCAGGGATTGGGGTTTACCTATCTGTAGATAAACCAGTTTCCCTTTTGGCTGCATTATATTAATTGAAATGTTTCTGTTCCTATAAAATGGCCTCCTTGCATATTTTTGAATAAATAAATTACTTGCCCTTCTTCCACATATAATTTCTGCTGGTAAGGAGAGACCTAAAGTTTAGTGGTTTGATTGGCAGCAGTTACTCTCTATGATCGTGCTTTTATTAAAATACAAGTTATATTAAATTACCAACAGAATCTGCATTATATTAATTGAAATGTTTCTGTTCCTATAAAATGGCCTCCTTGCATATTTTTGAATAAATAAATTACTTGCCCTTCTTCCACATATAATTTCTGCTGGTAAGGAGAGACCTAAAGTTTAGTGGTTTGATTGGCAGCAGTTACTCTCTATGATCGTGCTTTTATTAAAATACAAGTTATATTAAATTACCAACAGAATCCTTTGCTATCCCTAATAGTTATATGACTTTTTTCTTACTTTAACATTTTAGCACAGTTAAAATGAATCAGAGCCTACACTTAAAGGATCACTAAGAGCATGATGTTACTGTATATAGCATAGGTGAACTTAGGACCAGTTATATTTTAAGTAATGTCACATCAATTGAAAATATATTAAAATCCATTCTAATACACTGAAATCTTTGCTAGTCATCTAAACCTTTATTAATCCAGGGTCATTTATAACCAAGGGTTAACAAGCCATGAATACCTTTTAGTTCTAACTTTGTATGACCAACCAGCTGCGGCTGAACATTTGCACTATTTGGTGATAGAGAATGCTGGCTGTGAATCCCAACCAAGCAAAATGTTGACCTAAAGTAAAGCAGTCCATTCTTCTTGGTAGGCCTGCATAACAAATGAAATTACATTCAATCATTCATGCAAAAGAAAGGGACTTCAATCGATATTTCAGTTTAAGTTTGTAATGGAAATTTGTATCCTCTTGTATAGATATACCTACATAATATCCTTGACTTTTGCCTCTTGGCAGCCATAGCTATTTACTCTATGGCCCTTTAGGGAAAGAATTCGGTCCTCTGATGTACAGTGTTTTTTTCTTTTGCATTTTTTACTTATACATCGGTTTAGCAAATACTTTCTGAGCAACTCCCATCATGCCAGGCACCGGGGATGCCATGGGGAACAAGATTTTGTAAAACTACCCACCCTCTGAAGACTTGTATTCAAATTATGTACATTATTTCTTCACAACTACCTTGTCAATTAGTCTCATTCTTCAGACAATGTGACGTTCAGACAATTAATGTAACTTAACTCATTGTGCACCTAATACTAAGTCTCTCAGCCAGACTAGAATCCAGTTTTGCCTGACTTCAGGGCTTCTTACCAGTGGGTGGGCTGGTTTCATGGATGGAACTTCATGCTTAATTTTATTTAATGCCACTATTTTGACATAATCATTTTTTGAACAATAAATACATTTTCATTTGCTGCTGGCCCCACAAATTAGGTATCTAGTCCTGCCACTAAGGCAATAGTGCTGTCACACCCATTTCTACCAGGACTTTTTTTTTTTTAAACACTCCCCTGAATTCATCTATGAATAAGCCTTGACATCTATAAAACAATAAGCCATTACTAGTTCACTGTTCCATTGTCCAGTTCACCATGGAAGTTCCATGAGGGCCAGGAACCTCTTCCACAATAATTTTTTTTGAAATTCCCTCTCTGTCGACAACTCTTTTAAGAAGAGGTGAGTAGTGGGCCTCCCTGGTGGCGCAGGTGGTTGAGCACTGCACTGTGAAGCTATCTGCAGCCTCTGCAGAGCGGGTTTGATCCTGGCCGGCCAGTGAGACTCCCACATGGCGCAGCAGATCTCTCCTGTCTCGCCTGCTGCTCCCCTCAGCAGTGTGTTTTGTCAGTCTGCCTATTCTGCTCCCCGCTCTGTCTCTGGTGAATCCTCTCACCATCCCGAGCATCTGGCCTGTGCTCTGGTTCTTGTATAAAAATAAATAAATCTTTAAAAAAAAAAAAAGGGGGGGGGGTGAGTAGACACTAAATACTCAATAGGGTTGAATTCCATTCATACCTGAACTTTGTAAAGCTGAGTTGACTTTCTTACCTGTTTACTTCCACGGAAGAGCAAAATCTTTACCATCAAGTGATCTTCTGGTCTGTGTGCATTTGTAAATTTTGAAACAGGATGTTAGATCTGAGTTAAACAAAACACAAGAACTGATCTGTTTTCTGATATTAGGAAATTCTTCATCCAGCTGTCAATGACTGCAGCATTGAGGGATTTGAAGGGTACTCTGAGTTCACATATTTAAAAAAGATGTTTTATCTTCCTTTCAATTTTTTGCAGCCTAGTCATTGTTGGATAAGCCAGATGGTCGTAGAATTGTCAGTCAGCTTGACTGAGCTTCTGGAAAAGTTTTCAAATATTTCTGAAGGCTTGAGTAATTATTCTATCATAGACAAACTTGTGAAAATAGTGGATGACCTTGTGGAATGCATGGAAAAACCCTCATTTAAGGTAACCTTGTATTCATTGGAATTTTTTTTACTGCTCTTCTCTAAACCTATGCTGATTGGTGGTTGGCAGGGGTGGGGGGGGGAATGTACATATTTGATTTTATAGCCTTTTAATTTAAAAACTAGTTGTGCTGAGAAGTAAGTGTTCGTAGTTGAACTACAATGCTGAAATGTACATTAAGACTTATACATTGTCATTTGGTTTAAATATTTAAAAAATCATTTACACTGCAATTTAAAAATAGCCCTGACATTATCTTTTTTTTATTTTCTAACCTTCCTATTAGGCGTTTATTTACCTTTACATGGAAAATTGGCTATAATGAATGACTCTTGGCTTTTTATCTGTAGTAATATTTTTATGACATGACTATTTTATTGATTGAATATACAGCTTTTTATTAAACCACTCTCCTGTTGATTGCTATATGGGTTTATGTATACTGTTAAGAACTTATATGTCTCTTGGTACAGATATATAGGAGCGTCAAGTATAGAGTATCAGTGAAATCTCTGGGTCAAAGGATAGGCACACATTCCAACTTTACTAGATAATATCAAATGTGTCAATTCATATTGTTACTGGTATCTAAGAATATTCTCTGCTCCGTGTCCTTACCAATATGTAGTTTCACGATGCTTTTTAATTTTTTATTTGGAGCTTATGTTGTGGAGGTGTTATAGGACAGGGAGAGGTGCAGCCCAAACCCCGCAAACCTGCCTATTCTAAATGGGTTCTGCCATCCGCCGCATCAACACAAAACATATGAGACTTTAATGGGAAGAACTTTAATAAAACTAGGAAACAATACAGGAAAGGCAGAGAGTCTAGTTTCTAAATCAAGCACCCAAAGTTACCCGTCCCCTCATGGGTAAAAGTCCATCCATATGGGATCGGCCCAGAGCAAGGCCCCAAAGCCTGCCACAAGTCTAAAGCATCTTCCAGTGGGGACCCACAGAAAAGGGTCACAAACAACCGGACAAGCCCGGAAGGAAAAGAGCAAAATCAACATCAAGATAAAAGCTGCCATTGTCACCTCCCCACAGGTCTCACCCACATCTGTGTCACCCAGTCCACAACCAAAAGACAAGCGCAGTTTCTTCACGTGTCTCTAGGCTCCTTGCGCCTCCTCCAGGTCTCCTTCTGGCTCCATCCTGCTTCCTTCCTTCCTCCGTCTCCTCTGCATCCTCTTCTCTTCCTGCTCAGCTCCACCCTCCCTTGGGTGGGGCAGGGAACCTGGAACCTCCCCCTTTCCTGGGGAACCACACTGTTACAGAGGGATTTTTTTTCAAATAAGGTTATCATGTTTTTAGTGAGCATCTCTAAAGAACAAGTTTTCTAGCTTATTTCATTTGTATGTTGTATTCACTTTACTCTCACTAATACCCTTCCTCCTTCCTACTCTCTGAACATTGAGTCCCAGACTAAATTGGATGGGGTCATCTTACAATATTCGTTTGAATTATGTGTGTTAAAGTAGTTGCCTGAAAGTTTTTTGTTGTTGTTTTGTTAATTGATTTTTTAATTATATATTTATATTTTTACATCATTTTTCTTTTTTGCACAATGTATGCATTTTCATCTTGGTTATATCCCCCATACAATTACCACTCCCCTTATTTTATTTTTATTTTAAAAAACTTTTTTAAAGATTTATTTTATTTATTCAAGAACCGGGGATTAAATCAGAGCAGGGAACAGAACAGGCAGAATGACCAAAATACACTGCTGAGGGGAGCAGCGGGCGAGACAGCAGGAGAGGTCTGCCGCCCCATGTGGGTTGCTCTGCAGCCGGCGGGAATCAAACCGGCACTGCAGAGGCTGCAGGCAGCTTCACAGCGCTGCCCTCAACCACCTGCGCCAGGGAGGCCTGCCCCTTATTTTTATTTGAATCTTTGAAGGACATGTTAGTCTATTAGCTTGACATCAATGAAATCTATAAATTATTTGGAAACGTTTTTGAAGTATTCGTTATTTCCCTTCTAGAATGTAAAAAAATCATCTAAGAGTCCAGTTCCCAGAAAGTTTACTCCTGAAGACTTCTTCGCAATTTTTAATAAATCCATCGATGCCTTCAAGGACTTGGATATGGTGGCATCTAAAACTAGTGAATGTGTGTTCTCTTCAACATTAAGTCCTGAAAAAGGTAAGACATATAAACATTTCTGATTTAAGTGGAAAAGCAAGCTTGACTCTTACAGGTGTCGGTAAGACTCTAGCTCTAACTCAAATATATGTGTAGCTAGAGAAAGATGTGTGTGTATATGTTTCTGTCTAATATAAAAGCAAGTACTAATCCCATGAAAGAAACTAGTGTTTGTAGATCTGTGGGTTTTCCAACCAAAACATTTTCAAATTAAAGAATTGCGTGTGAGTAAATAAATTATTTACATCATTCATATTTTTCTTATCTGACATTTGCTAGTATTGTCCAATGATATTATTCAATAAATGTCCCTTCTCAGATCTCTTCCTTAAGGGTCCACCTCGGAGTCATGAATTCTGATCTTCACCAGTTACTCTGTATTGACACTCTTTCCCTCACTGGGTTCCTCTAAATACAAAATCTTAATTTCATTTTTTATGACCGATTACCAACAATTTGCATTTCTATTTATCAGCATATGTAGGCAATGCATCTTTGTTCTGTAAGGTTACTATGATGAATGTCTTAATAAAAATAGAATAGCAGGACTCAGTATGAAATAAATAGGAACTGAGTAATCTAGATTTGGAAAGTACTCTGGTATTGCACTTCACCTTTTTGGGGACTCTGTAATTTATGTAAATCATCATGCCGCACTGACACATTATTGCTTTCTATTTAGATTCCAGAGTCAGTGTCACAAAACCATTTATGTTACCCCCCGTTGCAGCCAGCTCCCTTAGGAATGACAGCAGTAGCAGTAATAGTAAGTACATATATCTGATTTAATGCATGCATGGCTCCAATTGGCATCGATAGGAGTATTGCATGGGCTTTAAAGGAAATCTCTACAATGATTACTGTTCATACTGTTCTGTTACTGTTCTTCCTGATCCAATCTTTCTGAAAATTAAATACTAGATCTGTAGTATTGGATTTCCCTAGAGCTGGAGAGAATGTTTAGAGAATTACACCAGTGTTTTTCTGCTAAGATTTTAAATAAGGCATGAAATTACTTTTAGAACTGTGATCTAAGCTTTTTTCATTGTGGACTGAGAACATAGTTTGTGTGAAATTTGCCTGACAAAAAGGAATATTGAAAATGGAAGGGACAAATCCTGGTTGCATAGAAATCCAAGGATATTTAACCTTTGTATATATCAGTATTTACTATAGTGTGTTTGGGAATTTGATAATTTTGTTTTTGCTATAAACTTAAATGTTGGAGGAGATTGCTTCTTTCCCTGAAATTTCTGTCTTCTTTGGCCAAGAATACAGTTTCTGGAAATCTGTGTCCTCTTTTCAAATCTAGGCAAAGGTCATTCTGGAGATCATTGAACTTACTAAATGTTCTGACCCTCTTGTTTCATAGCAGATGCAGAAGGTGAAATATTAATACCTAAATCTTAGCTAGAAAAAAGATTCCTTAAGACTGTAATGGGGCTGTTTGAGGACATAAATACCCAGCTGTAAAAAAAAAAAGAGTAATCAATTTATTACAAATCCACACTAGCGATCTTCAATCCATAAATTAAAAAAAAATTTAATCCAATTTGTTTTAGGAATTTTGCCACCAAAGCCTGATCTGAACTGAGGTGAGGCTATTTATTTTCTCTCTTCTTCTATATTTCAAGAACCAACATTTGGCTTCCTAAATTCTGTTTATATTTTATTGATTTCTAATCTTCAACTTTTGGTTTCACTTGTTCAACTGGCTCTAGCTTCTTAAGGTGGAAAATTAGATTATTGATTTTAAACCATTCCTTTCTAATATAAACACTTAAAGGCATAAATTTCCTTGTAAGCAGTTTGAGGTACATCCTTACACATTTTGATGGTATGTTTCCAGTATCATTTCTTTTAAAGTATTTTCTAAATCTCCTTGTGATTTTCTCTTTGATTTAAAATATAAAAATGGATTGATGTGTAAAATTAGTTTTTCTAGATTGTTATTGGAGTCTGCATTCTACTGTTAGAACATACACTATAATCTTTTGACATCTATTCAGACTTATCGTGTGTTCACATATAGAGTGTAGCCTTGGTCAAAGTGGCTTAATCTAGACTGATATCCTTATTAATCTAACTTTTTTGTCAATAACTAAGAGAAGGGTATTAAAAACATTTTGGGGATTTGACCATTTCTCCTTTGGTTCTGAATTTTTTGCTTCTTGTATTTTGAAGCTCTCTGTGCATTTATAATATTCCCCAGTGACCTCTTGGAGTAGAGCCAGTTTCTCCAATGCTTCCTGTCTTCATGGTATATTTTTTTATTTTTATCCTTTTTTTTTTACACTACCCCTCTGGTAGGCTATCATTGGGCCTTGTTATTTTATCTCATCTATCTTTGATTTTTAGTTAGTGTTTCATCCATTTATGCTCAATGTAATTATCGGTATGGTGGATGGGGGTCTATGCTTTGCTTTCTGTTGGCCCCATGTGTCTACTGATCTTTTCCAGCCCTTTTTTGAGCTTAATGTTTTTCAGGGTTCCATTTTAGTTACCCTATTAGCTTTTCAACAGCACCTCTTGGCTGTATTCTGTGGTTGCCTTAGGAATTTCATTGTATATCTCAACTTACCACATTCACCTTAGAGTTGATATGCTAGCACTTCAGAAAACAAGCCTGAAACATGAGAGTTCCACAACTGTCTTTCATACTTTATTGTATTGGGGCTTAGGGGAAAAGTCCCCTACTACATCTGGGTTCTTCTGAGACTAAACCAGAATGAACACATTAATAGACAGATTATTGGGAGAAAAAGTCAAAATTTAATGACATGTATTGAAAATTTTCAATTGTAAAGTAAAATGGGGCACACTAGGGACATACATCTTGTGTTCAAGGACCTGGCGCACCAAGGAGAGAGACAGGGGAGACTTCACATGAGGCCAGGATCATTTTGCTCACACATGCATTAGGCAATATCCCAGAGCAAGGTTTTGTTCCACTTATTTTTCAACCTTTCTCTCTGTTTCTAAGTATTTGACGTACACTTCCCTTTTCTTTGGTTGCCATCTCTAAAAGACTTTTTGAAAGCAGTTTGAGGTTCATAGCAAAAATGTGGGGGAAGTGCAGAGATTTCACATATACCTTCTCTCATTACCAACAGCCCCTACCTGAGTGGCCCATTAGTTATAATTAACAAACCTACATGGACACATCATTGCCACCCAAAGTCATTTTTAGGATTCTCTCTTGTATTGTACAATCTAGGGGTTTGGGCCCATATCTTCTTTCTAACCTTATGCTTCGTGTTTCAGAATTTCCATGTGTTTCTACATTTTTCCACTGAGATTTTCCAACTGCATTTTCATTATGACATTTCCTTTTTGTTTGCCCTTTGCATATAGTATTAAGAGCTGCAGTAAAGTTCTTTTCTCCTAATTTCAACATGTAGGTCATCCCAGGGTAGATTTCCACTATCTTATTACATTCCTCTTTAATGGCTAGTAAGTTTGGAGTATATGCTCAACAGTATGGATACTATTTTGACTATCTGGATTGTGTAGCATTCCTTTAGAGACCATTGAGGTTTGTTTTGTTCTCGGCAGGTCATCTGCAGGAAGATCAGCTTTATCCTTCTTCTCAGGCTTGTTTTTAAGCCTCCTTGAAGGAAGTAGGGATGATTCTAAGCTATCTCTTGAATACCTAAGAAATCTCTCCTTGTAAGAGCTCCTCTGTCTTTGAATGACTGCTAAAGTAAAGATGCCAAGTTTTGTTTCTCCCTTTGCATGGACATCTTATGCAACCAGTGACTTAAAAAGACTCCTCCTCCAGAGACTCCTGGTGCTCTGATGACTTTTCCTACAAATAACCCTACCCCACAAATTTCAGCCAAGTCAGCAACCCTGACCTGACTTTCTCAGTGAGACTGAGCCTTGCTTTGGTTCTGTTTTCTATACCTCAGTCTGAAACTGCCTCCCAATCAGAAAATTAGGACGAGCGTGGTCTCCCTGGGTGTTTTCCTTCTCTCAGGGATTATATTCTTGTGCTGCCTTCTGGCTAATGTCTGAAAATAGTTGCCTTGTATAACTTGTCTAGTGTAATCATTTAGGTTGGGAAGATTAATCTGCTACCATCATGATTGGACACAAGACTTTTCTAATTACATTAAAAAAGACAAACTGAATGTAAAACATCCATTGAGTCCTATGCCTCTAAATTTGAAGGTACTTTTTTTTTTAAGATTTATTTATGCATACAAGGGCTGGGGTACAGGCCAGAGATGCAGGGGGTGAGAGGATCCACCAGAGACAGAGTGGGGAACAGAACAGGCAGACTGAAATACACTGCTGAGGGGAACAGTGGGCCAGACAGGAGAGGTCTGCCTCACCATGTGGGGGTCTCCCTGGCCAGCCGGGGATCACTTCATAGTGCAGTGCTTAACCCCTTGTGCCACCAGGGAGGCCCTGAAGGTACTTTTTTAATTAATTGCAAAGTGAATGACCAACTTTGGGGTTTTTTTAAAATCACTTTTTATAAAAAAAATATGGGTCTTTCATAACTACCTGCTTTTTGACCAGGTGATTTTACTGATGTAGCACATAAAAATCTATTCAGGGTATTACCTCTTAAGGGATGTGGCATTCTTAAAAGAGAGACAGTGACAGTGATAACTAAAATACACATAGTACACTGTGTATATATGTACACTATGTGTATATATTGTAATACATGAAAGAGGTATGCAATGTTTCTAATTGTAGCATAAAGGGGGAAAATATTTTTGGGGAATGGGTTCAGGGAAATTTGAAGAAAGCCTATCGTTTTCCAGGGATAAGAACCAAAATGTGACCAGGTCCACCAGAGAACAGGAGGATATTGCAGAGATGTGAGGGACTGGTAAGGAAGAGCTCTGGGCAAATATAAAAGTGTAGAAGTTGCCCAAAAGGACTGTGTTTTCAAAGTAATAGTAAATCCTTTGTGTTGAGGTGAAAAGATGTTTTAAAAAGTTTGAGATCCTTGCAAACTGCTTTTAAATGCTACAGAAGGAAAATTTTACTTTGCCATTAGTCTTGAGTCATTGCTTGGACTCCTGTCCCAGCTCTAACCCTTTGACTACCTCTGTGCTTAATCTTTCTAGACTCCGTAGTCAAGTGGTGAATGCTAATACTGTTTGCATACATACTGAGGGGTATCCCCAGGACCCCCAAGTTTACTTGTTCTAAAGGGATTCTGCCATCTGCTACACAAACTATATTCCTCTTGTGAAAGAGCTTTAATATAATGCTTATACATAGAGAAAGGATATAGTTTCCCAGTGAAACCCCCAACATTACCCAGCCCCAAGTGGGTAAAAGCCCAGCCAAACCGTCAGCCCAAGGGAGAGCTGCTGAGGCCTAAAAGCTTGTCAGAAGTCTAAGTCACCTTCTGGAGGGGAACCATAGGAAGGGAATGAAAGGGGCCACATGGGTCTCTCACCCACATCTCTTACACATGTTTCCTCCAAGTCCCAAGCTGAGAGGCCAGCGAGCCCTTCTCCACATATCTCTGTGCCCTGTGTCTCTCTGCTGGTTGCAGAGATTGGTATTATTAGTCACACTAAACAAGTCAGTTCCCAGGAATTTGGAATTACTCAGGTCCTGTCTGGGTGAGCTCCCCACCCCACAAGATTTCTTCAGGCAATCTTTACAGGAAAAGTAAATCTTTGTTGCAGGCCTGGGCTCTGGTCCCGAATACCCTGCATATGGACCTTGAGGCTTACAGTTCAAATTTCATTCATTCCTGGTAGATAGCAACAGGAGCAAGTATTGGGAATCTTGCCCTGGAGGGACAGGCAAGCTCTTATATCATTTTTCTCTCCATGCCAGAGGGATGATATAGCTGGAGAGTAGGCCCATTTGTTAAGTCATGGGTAGTAGCAAGGGACAAAGCAAAAGTTCGTGAACCTGACAGCGATGAGAGAGGAAACTCAGTTCCTTGAGTCTTTTTCTCCTCCCAGCTTTAACGAGGCCTCCCCTGCCCTCTCTTCTGCAGGAAGAGTCAAGGATAATTCAAACATGTTAGTGGAATAAGAACACAAATAGCCAATTCATTTACAGATAGTGCTATTAAGATTCTTAATGTGGTAGGGATTATTGTACCTTTGAATCTATTTTCTCAAAATATGTGTGGTAGTCTGGGACTTATGTACCTTTTATTAATGTTATATAACCCTTAAAAATAGCTATATTACTGTAACAATAGAGCTACTTCAATTATACCAAATCCCACTTTGTAACTTGGGCTGCTTTTGGTGAGAGAAATCATGTTGAGCTGTAATTTAAGATGCCTGAAACATACTTTTCCTGAGGCTGGAGGATGTGGTGTTAGTCTTAAGGAAGCAATTTGTGGTTCCCTTCCCATTTTCTTACTCCGTATCTGCTCCCCCACCACCTTACACTTTATACACAATACTCACTACCCTACCACATCCACACACATGCATGTGAGCAAATACACAGACTTCCCAGAACCTCTTTGGAAACATAGAATTAATAAATTTCCTGATCTCAGTTACAAATACTGGGAATGGGCAATTTTCCAGAAGCAGAATCTATCTCAAGTCTGAAGTTAAATCTATGAGCTTATTGTTCCCTTGTAAATGGTGATATACAGTGGTTTGGATTTTTAGTGTACTTTATATGTTAAATAGGTGGCCACAGGCTGTTAAGGTAACCCAAATAACATTGTAAAGTATCATAAAGGTGGTCACCTTGTCTTGGAATGGTTTACATTTTGATCACATAATGGTTGAAAATGTATCATTTCTAAACTTGCATCTTCAAAGGAATACTGATATCTTAAGTCTTAGAAATTGGCACATGTGTCAGTGTTGTCAAACAACTATGTTGTTCCTTATAAGGAGACAGAAGAAACCCTGTCAATGTTAAGCTTTGTGTTGGAAGAAACTTTCTTGAGAAAAATGTTTTGTTTAATTCATAAGTTGTTCTGCTTCTAGAGTAAGAACAGGGCAGGATGAAGGAAGGTGTCCCAAGCTAATCTCATGTCTCCTCACTCACCAAGTTTCTTGTTTCCAGTAAGGGTGGAGAGACACTAATGTTTTCAACATTCTTTAGTGTCCAATAGTCTCAAGCTTACAAACATAAAAATCTGATCAAACCTTCTGTTAGTTCTTATCACATCTGGATGCCAAGCAGTATTGAGCTAAGGACACACCACAATTCCAAGTAAGAGGCACCTAGAAATACGATCTACATGAATCTAATTTGTAGCAGAACAAACAGTTTTATGCATGCAGATCATGATCTGGGTTGTAAAATGTCATCTTTAAAATTTTAAAAAAATCTTAGTTTCTTGACAAGATGGCAAAAGAAAAAGTGAAAAGCTGTTAGAAGATAAAGGCTTGGAAGATGGATTCGTTGGATGTAATACAAACTATTTTTCTCCTAGAAATGTCAATTTTCCTGTCTGTGGGGTTTCTTTCTTTTTTTTCCAACTTCTCTTTCGGAGTCAACATGGATTGGTCTTGCCATCCAATATTTAACAGAAAAATCAGCATTTGAAATATCTTAAACAGAGATAGGTCAACAGTACCTATGTTGGGAGCAACCACAACGTAAGACCAAAACCTTTAGCGTGGACATGCTGTGCTCACTCACCTCTGTGCTATTTATATTACAGGGAAGGCCTCGAATCCCATTGGAGACTCCAACCTACAATGGGCAGCCATGGCTTTGCCTGCATTCTTTTCTCTTGTCGTTGGGTTTGCTTTTGGAGCCTTATACTGGAAGGTAAGTGTTGCTATAACAAATCGCCACTTTGGAGACAGCTCCTCTGGTTGAGAATATTTTTTCCACTGAAGAAATGGGAATACTTTAAATATATGGAACTGAACATAAAAACAGACTGGGAAAAAAAAAACTATCTTAGCTTTGCTTATATGTAGAATATAGAGAAACCAAACAAAAGGTCGAGAAAGACAAAACTGGGCCTCCCTGGTGGTGCAACGGTTGAGCGCTGGGCTGCAAAGCTGCCCGCAACCTCTGCAGCGCTGGTTCAATCCCCGGCCACCGGCGAGGGTCCCACACGGCGTGCAGACATCTCCTGCTGCGCCTGCTGCTCCCCTCAGCAGTGTACTTCATCAGTCTGCCTGTTCTGTTCCCCGCTCTGGTGAATTCTCTCACCCTCCCGTGCCTCTGACTGTACCCAGTGCTTGTATAAATAAATGAATAAATCTTTAAAAAAAAAAAAAAGACAAAACTTTGCAAGCTGACAACAGATCTGAGGCATACAGCAGGGGAAGGGGAGGGAGAGAGCTCAAAACAGGAGGGAAGGGTCCGTGGTGATGGTTCACCTGTGCTCTGGTGGTGGGAGAAATCAAATACCATATCAAAACGAACAACAATGTAAGAAAATTTAAAAAAAACAGGCTGAAAATCACAAACACATACTTAATACAAATGGCATATCTATTTGGCTTTATCTGCTATTCTGGGTTTCTACTCCTTTGCCCTCTTCTTATTAAAGCTTGTCTAAAATTTTTAAATGTGCAAAGTCATTGTGACTTGGTTTTTTTAAACTGTCTTTTGAATTTGATAAAGATTTTAAAAAAAAGTTACTCTTTCTGCTGATATCCTAAAAATTTTGAGTTGATTAATTTTGCAACTAAAAATGATGAAAAATGCACAGTATAATTTCCATGGTACATGCTAAGAACTGTTATGGAGTTAGTCTCTCCACTTTAATGTTTATGTCATTACCTCTTAATTATTCCAGTCACTGATACATAGCATTGTTCTTTTCCCAGAAGAAACAACCAAATCTGACAAGGGCCGTTGAAAATATACAGATTAATGAAGAGGATAATGAGATAAGGTATTGTGTTGCTATGTACTTACTTTGCTTGCCATTGCCATTTCTCATCCCAGAAATATGCCCACAACGTCAAGAAGCTGTTTACTCTCATAATGGCATATCCCAATGACTGTCCCCCAGGTCTTTATATTTCTGATCTCTCATTCTGTCTTCAAGCCTACACTTCCATCTACCTATTGAGGATGCCCTCACATAATTATCTTCATGATGCCGCTTAGGGTACCAAAAAGTAGTCCTCTCTATTTCCATAATTTCTGTATGAACAGGACATTGCCCAGATGTCTGGTTGCGGAGTCCTAGAAGGACACCAACTTTTATTCTTCTTTTCTACACTATTACCAAGATTTACTGATTCCTCAGAGATTCTTACCCAGCTTAACTCATTGGCAACAGTCTTTATTCTACCCCCATATGTTTACTCTGTACTGACTAAATCGCTAATTAACCTATCATTATTGCCTTAGTCCTTCTAGACTCTGCTTTTGACTCATTCTTCCTTAAATCCTGGCTCATAATTTCAGTACTTATGCAAGAAACTTTCAGTGATTTTCTCTTACACATTAAATATATTTGGGCTCTGAGAAGTGTTAAGGGCTCTGAAAACCAAACTAGTCAGTCTTTTCTCAAAGACAAATGCAAACCTTAAATTGCCTTTCAATTTACTGTAGCTCACCCTAATCATTTTACCTTACCCCACACTGTCCAGGCACTAATACCTCGATGTACACTGATATAGTTACCATTTGGCATGCGCAATGTAAGCATTTTTAGGATATATGTATATATGAATTTACAGAAAGAATATTCTCAATTACTTGAGAAGGCTGTCTTGTGGCAGGTAAGTCTTTCCTATAGTTATAGTTAAGAACGTAAGCCTCCCACCCAATTTTGCAATATTTTGCTACTGTTTATACAGAAAAATTGCCTTTTTCAATGCCCAGATCATAGTGTACTTCAAAATCTCTGTCCAAAAGCAAATGAGCTCTTTTCTTACTTTCTTTCAGTATGTTGCAAGAAAAAGAGAGAGAGTTTCAAGAAGTGTAATTGTGGCTTTTATCAACACTGTTACTTTCATACATTGGTAAGTTTTCGAATTCTCTGAAAGATTTAACACCAACTTAGACACCAAAATTTGGAAACAACATCTATTATGTCTTTTATCATGCTGGTGTTGGTATGTTAACTGAAGCTGCTACATAATTGAATTGTGAATATCTAATTGGTTATGTGTTCTCAAGTTTTGAAAGACAAGCAGTATTAGTCGTGATTAGTGGATTTATCTTGAATGTGAGATATACAAAAAGTGAACAGTGGGGTGTTTACTTTGAGGTCAGAAAACAAATTCAAGCAACTTAGGATGAACATATTAAAGAATAAATAATTAGGTGTGATTCTATACCATAATAGAAAAAGTAGCCCATTCATAGAAGTTGAAATTGGTGAAGACCAGAAAGATTTCTCTGCCACATTCAGGATAGAAACAAAATGTCTTGCAATCAGGAGAGGAAGATTATCAAGGTTAAGTACCACCTGCTGCATGACTGGTCATTTGTGCCTCAACAGGGCTCAGAGCACAGGCTGCACTAAATATTAACCAGTGACAATGCTGTTGGGAGCATGGGGGCCCACAGAGGGTTTGTAGGAAAAGGAAAATGAAGAAAACATGGTCAGAGGGCACTGAAGTTCATGTCTCCTGTCTACTCTCTTAGGTCCCAAACCCCACACATTCTTGGGGGAGCTGAATGGCATTAACTTGATCAAGCAACCATCTGTATTCTTCTAATTCCCACTTCTAACTAAATTTTGTTGTTGCTCAGGGAATCCTGAGTGCATTTATTACAATGGGATGTGAGTGTTTGCTCATCTTCCTAAGTCTTCAAACCTTCCCTGTCTACCCTCCTTTGCCACGATGCACAGAGGGTTATTGCCTTTGCTCGATTATAATAGAGAGAGCTTGTAGTAAGCTTACCTATCCCTACAGATCCTGTCTCTTCCAGTTTTCACTTATGTCCCAGATTCAGAAACTTATCTCTAGATGGAACCTTCCCTAGGAAAACTGGGTCATGGAGACTCATACTTCCTGCAGGAGCTCACTTTTGGTTATACAACATTTTCAACACCCAAAATACCATGATAGAAAAATAATGTCTCATTTTTATGTCACTTAAACCCTTCATGTTTGTCTTTAACCATGCCCTTTATCACTGCCTCCAAAGCATGACAATGCCTTCTTTTCTCCTCCCTATCCTAGCTGCTATCTAGGCTCATTTTTCTTGTCCAATAATGCAAATGAACAGACCCTTCACTTGAACCTTTTCATTTTCTGGGGCAGTAGTCCCCAAGCTGAAATCAGTTTTTCCTCGAAACCTATTTCTCTGCCCCAACACAAGACTCAGTTTTTCCTATTTGCCTTTCATTCCCTTAAGCCAGACATAACCTGAACCACACACTAAATGGTTAATTTAGTCTCAAAGGCTCAAGTAATGTCCTCTGTTGTTTAGTTTTAAATTGCACCCCTGGGATCCTGTTCTGGCACATGGGTCTTCCATCATGTGGTTTTTAATGGTGGCGTTTGTCCTGTGACATTTGGAGTGTATGATGATGGGAAAACCCAGACCATTGTGTAGGAGAAAAAAAGATGTCATTTTAAAGCAGCCATAGCGAAGCAACTTGCACATATGCTTCCTAGTCAGGGAACATTCAAGGACAGGAACACAGTCTGTCCGGTTCTTGCTGTATCACAGCACTTGTTGCTTGTGCGTCAAAGGCTCTCAAGAAATGTTTAGAAAGATTTATTCGTTCACTAAGTTGCTCTTAATTGAAAGTTTAGCCAAGAAGTAGAAAGATAGTTATTCTGAAGTAGGGTTTTTTCCCTTTCAAGATAAAGATGTTCTAGAGATCTGCTGTGTAATATTATGCCCGTGGTTAGCAAAGCTTTGTTGCGTTCGTAAGTGTTGTTACCCTAATAATGTTTAAAAGTACGGTTTATTGAATTTACTTATTGAGGTCAATAGGATGGTCAGGGGAACTACAGTCATATAGGAATTTATTTTTCTTAAAGAATGATTCATTTCATACAAGAGTAATACCGCAAAGTAGAGATTCAGGATAAAGAAGCCCTGAGTTTGCTTAGAAATAAAAGTGTGAGGTAATGAATGAAGGGGCTGTCTTTCATAGACTTGCCTGTTCATCATCTCTATAAAGCTCTCTCAAGAATCACCTCGTGTGCCACCACTTCCAAAAAATAGTAACTTCTCCAATAAAGGTGATCTCTTGGGCCCTCTAACTTTTATATGACTCTTAGTCGGATACCTCAGTTACATAGATATTATGTTGTCCTCTAAACTATAAGCTCTTAAGAGAGAATGTCATTTCATTTTGGAATCTCAAATTCTATAGTTAGTTTTTCATATCCTATATGCCTAAACAGAGACTATCAGTAATATGCAAATAAATTTGTAGGGGAAAGCTTGTCATAGTAAATGGGAATTCAAATGGATGAGGGACAAGGAAGAAAGAGCTAGCTCATTATTGCAAACTCCAAAGCTAAAATGCATATGTAGCAATCCTAATCATTTGAGTACTCATTGCAAGAGTCAAGTCTTAGGCTTGACCCCGTACCAACAGATGTTTACAACCTGTCAAGGAACTTGTATAATTTGGGTTGAGGGATGTGATCAAGGGAAGGCACAGGGTAGAGGTGAAATCTGCCAAGAAATAACAGTACAAAGATAGAAGTGAAATACGGAGTTGTAACTGCCTTTTGAAAATGATGTAATTTGCATTACAGTAATTTACTTGGCTTTATAGGAAGGAAAAATATGAAATGAGTCAAGTTGATGGCAAGGATTTCTCCCAAAAGTGAAAGTTACACTGATTCAAACAAATCAGGATTAATATTGAAATAGTAGGATAGGAAACATGAATTGGTTCTGCAAAAGGAAACAATCTAAAGTTGGAAAATGAAAAGGACAGCTTGATATTTTAAATGCAAAGAAGGTGTGTAGGTAATGAACTAGAAAACAAGTTATCTCTAAGAGTAAATATACTAAATCTGTTTACTTGCCATCAAGCACGAAAATATCTATATGAAAAGTTAAAATTCCACTTAGTCAGCTAGCTAATACCAAATGCCCCTGTGGCACAGAAATACAGTATATTATAGGAAAATTTGCTTTTCTTTTTCAAAAATGTGATCCCAACAAATCTCTAGTTAGTTGCTTTGTTGAATGCAAGCTTGAACCTGACCTAACTATGTTCCCAAATAGCTTAGACCCTGCAGCAGGAAAGAAGATATAATCTATTTTAAAAGGAAGGTAGAAGATTATAAAGTTTAAAAAGCTTATAAAGAAATGGCACTGAGAGTAGAGAGAGAGAAAACAAGACCACTGCATTTGGAGAAATCTTTATTAGGTAGTTGATTTGGGTGGCAAAGTCTTGGATGATTGGTGAAATTTTATTTGCAGTAGAGGAGCTGAGTAATCCAGACACTGGAAATAAGACAAATCAGAGAGGCCAATTATGCATTCTATGTTCAAGAATCAGTTTATACAGTTAGACTCCAGTAGAGATCACACATGAAGTATATCAGTTTGAAAATGGGTATGAATTCCAAATGTGGAACTTACAATGGATTGAGTAATATATGGAGCTGTTGATGGGTTTAGAAAAGATGTGAGTGGTGAAATGAAAATAGAGAGGATTATGAAAGTAATCAGAGGTTAGTGTGGCCAGATAGGCGGGATGGTGGCCTGGAGTCAGGGAGTCCTCTTAGGAGGCCAATTCAAAAAGATGAGAAAGAATGACAACATGAACTAGGGTTAGGGCTATGGAAATAGGAAAGTAGGTACCATTTGGGGAACACTGCAGTAAAAAGAGCAATAAATTCTAGTTATTGATAAGATGTGAGGCTCAACTCAAAACTGAGATAAAGCCTATGAGAATAGCTAGATGATGGTGCTATTAATAGAAAATGGGAGAAGTAGAGACCAGTGAATGAGTATGTTTAAAAAAGAATTGTAATTGAGACCTTAGGAAAAGAACTAATTAGCCATGGAGAAGACCCAGTCTGGCTGAGAGTAAACATCAGTGTTTACTGACTTACCCCAGCTTGGTGTGTGTAGAAAGTGGTTCCTGGTAGGATAAGGCCAGTAGAGAGAGTCAAACACATTCTGGAGGTTTCTGGTAGATCTCAGCTGAGTGAAGAAAAAAATAGTTGCCTCGAGCTCATCTATATTTCAAGCTGATAGCATTCAGTCACCAGCCATTCCCTGTGTACTAAGATCGGTGACTCTTTACAGGTGTTTCCTAAGAATTTCTAAAGCCTTTGAGGTTTTGTTACTGAGCTTTCTTTCTGTAGAGACACTGTGATAAAGAGGACTAGAGGAGATTAGATTTGGGTTCAAGCTTTGGTTCTGCCTCTTAACTTCCTGGATGAGTAAGTTGTCTTTTAATCTTTTTTCAAAGGTGATGAGGGGATAATGATACCTGCTTATTTCATGAAGCTGTTGCAGAAATCCAGGGTTATCATTATAAAATAGTTGTCAGTGGTCAAGTTTTTTTTTGCTGTGTGACCCAGAGACAAAAATCAGAAAGAGATTGCCAGTCTTGTTTGTCTATGTTTGATTACAATTTTACAGGTTTTAGGGGAAAAAAAATTCTTTGCTCTTCTGTGATTCCAATTTTTTTTTTAAATATTAAAAAAAGTGCCTTATATATTGCATTTCTGATACTTTCTCTAACTTCTTTCCAGATTTAATCCTGCTTTCCTAACTAATTTCTCTAGAGTTTGGTAAACTCCCACATAATACAGTATTTTTCCTAGTCTCTCTAAGTCAATATGCTAAAAACTGTAATTCTTACCATTCATGCTATGGAGTTTTATAAACAATCTGTGTAACAATCTCAGATATTTTAATACCAGTGATGGCAATTCTGGGGTTGATAATTCAGGGCGGAGATAGGGAAAAAATAGTGAGTAAGGAAGAAATGCAAAATACACATTAAGACTGAAAATAGTATTAAGATTTTATCTGTCATAGAAAGTAGATAAGGAAGTACAAATACTTGATTAAGCTGAGTC